TATTTCTAAAGCTAACATTCTTCTAACAACATCTAAAACACTGTTAGTCGGATATGTCGTAAATAAATCTTAAATGACTAAATAACTAACTTACTGAGCCATGTTTTCCAAGAGGATTCTTGTTTTGACAGTAATCTATTTTCTTTCTCGGTTTATAAGCCTAGACTAATACTAGTTTTCCTCTAGTCTTCACCTTCCTTGCATGAGACTTCATGCTCACTAGAACGTGTGCTTATTCTTAAAAGCATGTGAGCTCCCAAACCCTCTGAGTTTTATGTAATATAACTGCCTTACCCAGGGCTGGCAGGAGCAAAGAGATAGATGCATTTTCACAGTTTTTTTCTCCTAGACCATGGGTGTTTCTGCTCCTGCTTTGGCATCAGAGTAAGAACAATTTTTCCAATTTCACCATAAAACCGAGGACCAGTTTCCTGTTTCTTATGTGTATATTTTGCTAATGGTTAGGTATAAGGCTAAGGTGTAAATTTAGTTCAGTTTAGGGTTATAGTAAGCTTATAGTAGGTACGTTGAACTGACTGTATGACCTTGTTGAATTGTAAAGTACCTTGGTATGACATGCGTTTTGAGTTGGCACTATATAAATAAACTGAATTGAATTGAAAATTTAATTGGATTGAATAGGGTTACTGCCAGGGTTAAGGCATAGAAGGGTTGCAAATGACTGGAAATTAATGCACGTCAATGGGAGTGTGCACATGGTCCTCACTGTACATATAACGCGATGAGTTTGTGTTGGTTTGTTCTCGTATTTGATACATTGTGGGTTCCATTTTCCGGAAAGATAGTACATTTTGGAGTCTGACTGCTTCTAGCGTGGCCCCATGCCTGTTTTATGGTCAGGTCTAAGGTTTGAACTAAGCTGAGGTTTAGATATCAACCTGTAACGGTTAGTTTTAGCATAAGGGTCACGGTTAGGCTGTAGAAAGTAGAAGTAAATGGAAAGGCCTTGCAAAGTTAGGGGGATGTTTTATGTTTGTATGAGTTTTTTTTTTTTGTAGGTTCTAAAGTAAGGATTCCAAAAAATTGGATGTATGGCTTTTGACAGTTTACTGGCTAAAAAGCCATATATCTGTGTCAATGAAAAGGCCTGTGCATGCTCCCGCTGGGGTTCCCGGACCAGCATCCAGCTGATGTCTCGGTTCAGCTGCACTGTACTTGGACAATTTTGAAATTCCCCCCAGACATTTTTTTAAGGTTTGAAAAGTAGTACATGTCTGGGAA